ATTATTTAATAGGGAGAAGTACAAATCAGCCCAGCTCAGAATTTACTAGGCCCAAAGTACAGGGGGAATGCATCCTGACCGTGAATTGATGCCAAATTCACGGGCAGGATGTGGTTTATAGGGGGGGACAGGGCTAGTTGTAGGGGGGCTGGAATTCAGTATTCTGCATCGTGTGTCTCCGTACTTTTACCTATTTAATAAAGATATCGAATATTCAGTCAAGAAGAGAGTAAGGAGAGTTGGTGATCTCTTGGACAAATCACCATTAGGGCGCCAAGATAGGTACCTCGAGAAAAGGAAGGGACAAGGGAAAACAAGAGGGTTTTCCCGTGGACCGACCCGTGACGAGATCCTATTCCCGGGCCCATAACATTTTGGTATCAGAGCAAGGCGTCATGGGTGATCTGGAGCAACTGCCGTCCAGGGTCCACGAACTCGAGCACCAGCTCATGGAAACCAGCTTAAAAGTACGTGAGATCAAAGATGAAGTCAGGGAGCTGCGGCGCCTAATGGAGTTATTCCTTTCTAGCAAGGAAAGGAACACTGAAGAGGGGACAACCACCAGTGGCCGCCAACCAGATCTGCCGGAGTCTTTCGACGAACAACAGTTCGTTAGCCAAGGAGCCGCAGTCATCCCCAAGTACAACAGGTTAGAATTTCCGTCGTACAACGGCAACGGAGACCCCTTAGGCTGGCTGTACCGGTGCGAGCAGTTTTTTCGGAATCAACAGACAGACGACCGGGATAAGGTAAGTCTAGCTGCCTTTCACTTAACAGAGGAAGCACAACTTTGGTTCTATCGGTTAGAACAAGAAGAGCCCGAGCTCAGTTGGACCCAGTTCAAGTCCTACTGCCTTCTTAGATTTGGGCCCCCACTGACAAGCAACCCCTTAGGCGAGCTGATTAACCTTAAACAAACCGGCACGGCGGCAGAATACCAGCGCCAGTTTTTTTTTATGAATATACCAGCGCCAGTTCCAAACCCTCCTCGCGAGGGCATCTTCAGTGTGACTAGACCAGTAGGTAGACATGTTCACCGCTGGGTTAGCAGAACCCCTGCGAGTGGACGTGGAGATGCAGAATCCCCCCAACCTGGTCACAACCATGAATATAGCTCGCGCCTTCGAACGCAAGGTACAACTCAGCCGCGGAACCTTCAGTATGGGGCGGCCTCCATCAGCATGGGCATCCCCAGAACCACTCGGAATGGCTCCATATTCAGCAACCAGCCAAGAATGGAAGCCACAGACAAGCAACAATTCCAGATCAGCATCCAGTGCGGGGAGCAACGTCGTTGCACCCCCTATTAAGCACTTGTCCAGGGCTGAGATGGCGGAACGCAGGGCGAGGGGACAATGTTTTAATTGCGAYGAACTCTACTCAGCAGGGCACAAGTGCAAGAGACTTTTCTGCCTCCTGGTGAAACAAGAGGAAGATGAGGATGAACTCTCTTCATTGGAACCCGATCCGGGAGGGCAAAGTCATTCCACCTATCCGGAATTCCTTCGACTGTGTTTCAAGACACCCATCCTGAATTCGAGCTTGAGGACAAGCTCGTAGTCCAAGAGGGGAGTAATGATGTGGGCGCGTATTGGGAGCAGCAGCAGCAATGATCTGATGTTCTCATCCAATCCAATTCGGCAGCAACAGTCTTATCCATTCGGCATATTAAATTAGACTATCTTGTTATTCTTATCTTATCTTATTAAGTTAGTAGATTAGATCATCTTATCTTATTAGATTAGGATTAAGAGAGACTTATCTTATTAGATTAGRATTAMGAGAGATTATCTTATCTTATTAGATTAGGATTAAGAGAGACTTATCTTATCTTATCAATCTTATCTTATCAAGATAGAATTGGAAGTCTCCCTATTCAGCAAGGAGTCTCCCTAAGAGCAGGACTCTTGTAATCTCCTATTTAAGGAGCCACTATTATTTAATAAAGATATCAAATATTCAGTCAAGAAGAGAGTAAGGAGAGTTGGTGATCTCTTGGACAACTCACCATTAGGGCACCAAGATAGGTACCTTAAGAAAAGGAAGGGACAAGGGAAAACAAGAGGGTTTTCCCGTGGACCGACCCGTGACGAGATCCTATTCCCGAGCCCATAACAAAGACCTAGATATTTAATAACTCATTCCACAAACTTCCAATGGCTAAGTATAAATGGGTTGCCAGCCAGTATTGGATGTGTTGTGAGCAATATTTTGAAAATTGTAATCGTATTGTAAATTGTAGAGAAAGTTGAATCAAATTGAATCGTAATCATAGACTGTTATGTTTTTACTTGCTGCTACCTAAGCAGGGGCAGTTTTATCTCTTTATATAATATTCAAACTCATAAATACCTGGGCTGGACAGAAGGGATTAACGCCCATTCTTCTCCTCCTCTTTCCTAACCTAGGGCTGAATACCTTCATGGTATCAGAGCATTAAATCTGTCCTAGGACATGCTGTTTCTATTTCATTCCTCTTTTCTTCCTCCTTTTCTTTTATTTTCTGTGAGTTCCTTCAAACTCACAGTTTTCTTTTAATATTTTTATGTTTTTTTATTTGAACCAGAGAAGGTTGCTATTCAAGGGTCTCTTTAACATCTCTTTCCTCTCAATGTGAGCCGGATATTCTGCTAATACTTGGACCAAAGGGGTAGACTCTTCCTTGCTTTTTGTGAAGTACTGTAAGTTAAGATGTCTTCAGATTCAAGTGAAGTGTCATCCAAAGAAAACAGGTCAGATGAGGGTTTCTTCAACAATGAAAACCCTAGTTTCCCTAGTCTTCAAATCACAAGTGTGAAGTTGGATGAGTACAACTTTAAAGAATGGTCTATTTCAGTAAAACTCCATATTACTAGTCGTGGAATGCTGGGATATATTAAGAGCCAGGTGAAAGAATCAAAGATGGAGGCACAAGGATATGAAAAATGGTGTAGGAAAAATGCTACAATTATGTCATGGCTACTGTCCTCCATGACACCTAAGATAGCTAGGACAGTTTAGCATTATCCTACAGCTCAAAAGATATGGGAAAATTTGTCAAATACATATGGACAAAGGAAGAACAATGCTAGAGTATATCAGCTGACTCAAGGAAGTATGCCAGTTGCTACCTTTTTTGCTACTCTCGATGGGTTGTGGGAAGAGCTTGATCATCATTTAATCATAGAATGGAAAGATTCTGTATCAAAAACGGATTGAAGAAAGAAGGGTGTTCAAGTTTCTTGCTGGCCTAGACTCTTTCATATGATGAGATTCGATCTCAGATTTTGGAAGGGATGAACTTCCGGACCTGCAACATGTGTTTTACTTGATCAGAAATGAAGAGAGTATAAGGAAAGAGATGAAGGTTGATATTCCTTCACAACAAATTGAACATTCAGCTTTAGTTTCAGCTACACACAAAGGGGGGAATGGGGGAGATAAGAAGAGTTTGAAGTGTACACACTGTGGAGGAGAGAGACACACTAAGAATACATGCTAAATTCTGCATTCTCATCTGAAAACAGCAGCCCTTAGGAAAGAGAAGAAGCCTAATAAGGGCTAGGGGTCTCATGGACATGTCGCTAGTTCAAATATGGCTGATGGAGTACACAAGATTGCAACCACTAGTGCTTCTCCTCATATGGGACAGACCACTACTCCCTCTAATTGCTTTCCTGAGTTCATTGTAGAGGAGGTAGATATTTTTTAATCAAACAAGGTTGCTTTCCCAAGAAGTTTTGGTCTCATGCAGTGCTTACAGCCTCTTATTTGATTAACAGGATGCCATCTGGGGTATTGGGTATGAAAATCCCCTTCTCTACTCTTTGTCCAGATCAACCTGTGTTTCCCTTATCTCCAAAAGTCTTTCGTTGAGTGTGATTTATACATGTCCCAGATTTTAAAAGGACAAAGTTGGATCCTAAGGAAATTCATGGGGTATTTTTGGGATACACTCCTACACAAAAGGGGTACAAGTGTCTTGATCCAACTATTGGGAAATAGTTCCTTGCTAAAGATATCACATTTTGTTAGTCAGTCCTTTTTGGATCCTTAGAATTCTCTTTAGGGGGAGATAGTGGGGTGGAAGAGATTTCTTTAGAGGTTTATTCTTTTGTTTCTGCTGTTGATCTCTCTTCAAACTACTCCCTTTGATCCTACTTCCTCAAATTCTGCTAATTCAAATGGAACTACTATTGGTGATGCACCTAGCACTAAAGTAGCTGTGCCTAGCCTTGGTAAGGAAAGAGAGCCAA